CACACACACACACACACACACACACACACCCACACTGCCCTGACCGTCAGCTGACACCGGCTTATCCCCAAGCTGCAAAAAAGCGGCAGCCATGTAAATGCAAATGCCGCGGGGGATATTTAAATCCCCCGCGGATTTTGCTATTCCGATGTGTCTAATTGCACCCCATTTCTGGAAAAGGTTTGTAGTGTAGCCACAGCCCTGCAGTCTAGCCGTACCCTCGCTGGGTTGAGGCAGGATGTGTAGGCTCTGGGGTGGGAATGAGGGATTTGGGTGTGGGAAGGGGTGAGAGATGCAAGCTCTGGGAGGAAATCTGGATGCAGGAGGAGGTGCAGAAGGGGATGCTGGGTCGGGGAGGGGACTTCAGGCTGGGCAGTGTTGGGGTCAGATGTAGGGTTAGGGTAGATCGAGGGTCTGGGGGAAGGAGGAGTGCAGGAATGTTATGATGCTGTGGACAGATGGGGGGTTGGCCCCAGTTGGGGGTTTGTTGTCCAGGCTTAATTTTTAAATAAAATATTATGTCAAACACAAAAAGTTTCTGTATTGTCCTTATTTATGAGAAGGGCAGGGAACCTGTTTTGAGTCAGGGGTCACTGACCCACAGAAAAGTCAGTTGGGGCCACACAAGTGAGATGCAAAATAAAAACTCCTCCAAAACCCCCACAAGCCTCACTAATGTGGCCCCAACTGTGTTGGTGGGAGCAGGGGACATGGTATTGGGGAAGGGTGCCAGGGGGTACCTGGATAGGGTGCTGGGTAGGGTGCCAATAGGTGCTGGGGCAAGAGACAGAGGGCCAGTGGGTTCCAGGGTAAGGGCCTGGGGCAGAGGACAGGGTGTCAGTGGAGGCAAGGGACGGGTTGGTGACCACGGCTGTAGGATGATCACAGGGGGACAGCAAGAGGCCAGAGATGGGGACTGGGATAGCTATAACCCCATTGGGCTGGCAGGGGTGGAGAAAGGGACACCTATCAGAGAGTTTGTCTGTTTGTGTGCCTGTTTGTACGCCAGGCACAGGACATGCACCCCTCATCTGGCTGTGCCTGCTGCAGCTGCAGCAGCCATTGAGATGAGATGCTGCAGTGAGAGAGGGCTGGGGTTGTCCACTCTCTCTCCAGGACAGCCTGCATACTGAATCCTCATCCTCAGCCCCACCCAAGAACAATGCTTTAAATTAAAAAAACCAAAACTTATCTGAGTTAAGGACCTGAGCAATGCTGGGTCACTCTTCCAGTATATTTAAAATTAAGGACACATGTAAGTTCTTTGTTAAACAGGAATGGACTTAAAACGTGTGTGCAATTTCAATATATGCATAAATGTTTTGCTGAACCACATCCTAGATCAATGATCTTTGAAGCTAGTGGGCCACATTTGGTGGTACCAAGGGCTGCAACTTTTCAAACTTGCAACATTCTGTAAATGTACACGAGTTTACAGAAGCTATGAAAAGGGTTATTCAAGGGTTGCAAAGGAAAGAGTAACAGTAAGTAGGTTGGCACTGCTTTTTTGAAACCAGTTTCTTGAAATCAGACCTTTGAGTGGGAGTCTGTGAGGCAACAGAGGTGTGTTGATTTGTTAAGAGTCCTAACAGGATGTCTGTGCAAAAACATAGATACTTTAGGACAGCGTTTCCCAAACTATAGTCCGCAGCCCAGTACTGGGCCACGGAAAAAAAATGCCGGGCCTCAGCGTACCTGGTGGCTGCCGGCCCTTAGGCCGATTCGACCCATTTGGTCGAATCAGGCCCCATGCCCCTGCACCTGGAAGTGCTGGTGAGTTAAGAGCTGGGGCCCTGCTCCAGCGCTATGTGGAGCTGGGTCTCTCCCCGGCTCTGCCTGGAGCATCCTCCCACCCCGCCCCCAGAGCATCCCCCTCGGCCCCGGACGTCCCTGCCGCACGCGGCTCCTCCTTGCTGCCTGCCGCCCATGCGCAGCGTTGCACGTGGGTGGGGAGGACGCCTGGGCATGACATGACGTCACGGCCCGGGGTTTTGAAACCTGCGGGAGGCACATGGCGGGGTCTGGCTGGCTCTGGGTTCGGCCTCCGGGGCCTGAGTGTGAACTCTGGCCCCGCAACATGGAAGGAGATGGCAGGGAACCTGCTCATGTGGCGGTGGCGGCGGTGGAGGCGAGGAGAGGGAGAGGAGAGGCGGGGGTGGAAGGAGAAGGGGCTTGGGCTGGGGACAAGGGTGCAGGAGAGACAAATGCCAGGGGGCCAAGTGCAGACCATGAGGGAAAGGGTAGGAGGGGAGGTGTCAGTGGGAGGGGGGACAGGGTGATGCTGGGAGAGGAGAGGAGAGGAGAG